ATGACCGCAACCACTGCTAATTGTCTCAAAAAATATTTTACCCTTAAATGTCGCAATGATGACGTTAAATGTTGCACCATTTTCCCTTTATCCTTAAATGTCACAACATTACTGTTAAATCTCGCAATATCTAAATTCATGTTAAACAGCTGGTAGTATGCCAATATTAACGTTTCGTATGTGAGAGGGGACTAGCTTACTATCAGATAGGCAACGATTTTGTGATGTACAAAATATTTGGCTGAAATTAAAGTCATCTTTGTCGGTATTATAAATTGACGACCACAATATATGAGTCCCTTTTTGATAAAACACATTTGTAGACTTTTTTAACAACCTAGAAGTCATGAGTTCGAGCTACAACATCAGCTTAAGACGGGTCTAACACATTGAGATGTTTGTTATTATTTTCGTCGGCCTTTTACCTACAAGCATGTATGCCTGCGGTGTCATCGGTATTAAAGGTATTATACTACATGTACTTATTATATATATTATTTTTTCACAGTCAGATTACAGTTTTACATATTACATTAATGCAAACATCACTTAAGGTCACGTATGCCAAAAATCAACCAAGAGTGTCTTTTCTTGAGAATGATACAGGCGTCCGAAGTGAAAATGCTGCCGTTGTAGGCAGAAATGTTTTTTCGAGACTGCCTGCTATGACGGAAAATACTCTAAAAGTGGCTAACATTCTGACAGAAAATCAATTTTATCATTTGTTTTATTCGTATCGTACCTTTATCCACATTGAGGCTTTAAATTATCATTTGTAATATTTTTTTCCTCATGCAAGAAAAGATGTTAATGTGAAAGGTGCATCGAAATAGTTTTTTATTGACACCCATTTTAAGGATAAAACATAAACAAATTTCACTTCGACCAAATTTTCCTATGTATGTAAGTAATATATTATGTCACTCTTAATATTTTTTCTGTAATGTGAAATTGCATTGAATTAATGGCCTCCGTTTTAGTTGAAATTACCTGTCCTGTGTGTCATTAAAAAGTGTTTCCTCGATGCACCACAACAAATTAAAGTTTAAAGCAAAATATGTGCAGTTTACAAGTGTCAGAAGTGTCGTCTGCTCATGCTTAATATACATGTATTTTTTTCTTGTAGCCCGTCATATTATTTTTTATTACAAATAGAAGACGAATATAGAAATTAAATCCGTACTTTGGCTAATACGTATGCCCCCAGGTTAATATTTGCAAACAAAGTGTGAAAATTATCTCCCATAACTAATGCATATAAAACGTTTTTAAAACGTTCATGTTTTGCAAAAATGAAATAATTCTATTATATACAAAGAACGAGAAGTAGATTTATCTGTAAACTCAAAATTTTACATAAAATTATATAAGATATCTTTAAAATTTCAAAGCGGACTTAAAAGGACGAACACCGCTACCCCGCTTGGTTTGAATTACTATTGTTGTATATAAACCCATTCAAGACATATGTGGGTAAATTAGCCTCCTTATCAATAAGGAATTGCTTGTTTTTCAGATCTGCCCTGTAATAACAGGGCAGACAGCTCTTTGTCCCTTTCTCAGATGAGAAGGGGAATGCTGTGATGCGTGTATGTGGTCGCACGGTCACTTTTCCTTCTAACATGTCCCGATGCATGTATGTGGTCGCATGGTCGAAAATCTCTAGTTTCAAAAATATCATTGTTCTTAAAACCTGTAAATCATAATAAGGAACTTTTACAGCCTAATTAGAACATAGTTACTTCTGAAGCCTAATATTAATAAAGGACTTCTACACTTTGGATTAAGAGGTATATAGAGCATAATTAGAACTTTCATTCTTCTAAATAGGAGATTCACAATTTCTTAAGCTACGGTTCACTTACTCCCGCAGAGCCCATGACCATCCCGGTAAATTACTGGGACGATCCGGGGTGAAATTATTGTTGCGGTCACACTAAGCCCGGCAGCACTACGGTTATCCCCAACTAACGACCCAGGATGCGCTCCGCATCATCTAGGCAGAGCTCTGAAGTTACGGTTCATGCCGGTGCTTCCCCGTTCGTTCCCGGATGACCCATGCAGAGCCCCGGTGTAATCCCGGTGGATTGAAAACGCTCGAAAATGATTGAAACATAATTTTTATTTAATATAATATCTATTGTTCCGGAATAGTAATTCATGATGATTTTCTGAAAAATCCTTATGCCATACTGTATAGAAGGGAAATGGGAAGGGTTTTAATACAAACAAGTGCAATCATCGCAAATTGTCGAGATTCTTTTAAATGAACCGTGCTTTGCCGGGGCTTTACCGGGATTAAACACAAATCCAGCCATATCAGCAGGGGTACCAAGAAGACACCGAATTAAAACCGGAAAAGATAAAAAAAGTCGGCGGGCATGTTATAAGTGAAAAAACAACTCAAAGGGTCCGATACGGGAGTTAAAGGGACAAGTGGTGTAAGAACAAAATGGGAGGGGATATACTAGTAGTGCGTACAATCTCTGTCGCATAATTAATTCTTTTTTCTTTTTTCTACTACGCAAAATATGATAAAAAAGAAAAAATTGGTGCTACTTATTTAATACTGTGCTAAAGAGGGTACAGGTACTTTAAACAAAATAAGAGAGAGGGTACCTGTGACAAGAAAAATCAATAGCAAGGAGGTATTGTCCAACAACATTGACCTGGCACTCTAGCATTTGACCCTGTAGTCGGTATATTCCGTAAACGTTACGATTTACTTGTAAATCGATATGAATGTAAATATCCAATTGTTAAAATGGTGTAAATGAAAATTCCCTCTTAGTGCAGTTGGTAAAGAGTTTTCACTTGCAGACGTAGACTGGTAGGTTCGAATTCCTATTTCAGCGATTTATTTTTTTATTTTAATTTTGAAATTGCCATTCTCTTTAAACTTTTGAAAACCTTTTTATTGTGTGTACTATCTATGCAGATTTTTTAATAACTACATTTAAAGCATGTATGCGCTTAAGCATATACGATTGCATAATGTCACAAAAAGAACCGTTGAAAGATACTGTAATGAAATGAAAGACAAAAATAAAAGACAATTGTGCAGAAAAACACCACTTAAAAGATATTCTAAAACCAGGTGTAATAAAACGATTTCAAATTAATTCTTGCAATTTAAATTAAAAAAAATTATAACGTGGTGTTGGTTAGGTATCGAACCAGAGACCTTCAGATCGGTAGTTCGACATCTATACCAATACACCAAACCTCACTGACGAGTGAAGTTAGCAAAAATATCGATATATTCGATAGGTAATAGTCAATGTTTATTCATATGACCTTTCCGAAAATTAATGAAGTGCCAGGTCAATATTGTTGGACAATAAGTTGTTTTTCTGAATTATAAATGCAGTTTTACTATTTATTTATATTTGTCCGAAGATAATCCTTGTATAAAAATGAAAGTACAATGATGTGTTCATAATCAAATCACTGGTTCATTTTGATCAACAAAACATGCCGATGCGGTGAGTGTGGCGAAACATCGCGACTTTGTGTAGCTTATTGTGGAGTTGCAGTAAAAATTCCTCGGAAAGACATAAATCTAGTTAAAAAAGTCTAGACCGTGGTTTACTTCTTTCCACCTTTTATCAGCCGAATATTGGTGTAGGCATGAGAATGACCTGTGCATGCACAAAGAGGGTACCAATATGGATATGCACCGTGTACGTAAAAGATGAGTTTTACATGCACATAACATGTAGCTTAGTTGCACAGTGCACGTCAATCAATGGTTGCAAACAAAAAGGATATTTAAAGTGTATTGGTTTATGATTGATGAAAAGTATGCAATACTATAAAAATGTTGATAGTCTTAAGTATCATGTGTTCTGGAACAAAATATTAGTAATTCATCATTTTAATGTCATATTATATCATGAAGAGACTAGATAAACGCTTTTAATAAATATATTGTAAGAATATCCGAATGATAAGTTTCTATTGCTTTTATTAATATTTGAAATTTTTGTTGAAAATGTAGACCTGTCCACTTAAAAAAAAGCATTTTTCATCTTGTGTCGGCAGATTGATCGGGACATTCCTTATATCAAAAGATTACTCAATACGTACAAACAATTACTCAATGTTTATTGTAATTTATATCACAAGCTAACTTAATTTAATTATAAATATCCATTTTGCGACATTAAACGTACGTGTTGCTATGTATAACGGCTAGAGAAATTCGTGCGATATTTAATGTTACCATTGTGACATTTAACAGCAGAAAGTTTTGTGACATTTAGCGGCAATGGTGCGGCATTTGACGGCAAGTGCAACATTCGGCGGTGATGCGACATATAACGGCGGCATATATGTTATGCTTAGAAAGTGGTAAAAGCGTGTAAGGGTGTTTACATTCTTACTTGATTTTGCTCGGTCGTACATGGAATATTCATGGGTTTCACGTGATTGATGGAGGCAAAACATTTCTTCTCTTTTCCCTGAATGTAAACACAAATATTAAAATATGAAGAAATATGTATAGCATCATATCAAATACAGATATGCTGAAATCGAATCCTAAAATTAATCTGGGAAAGGCATGTCCAGCAAAGTCTGCAGTATAGGACATCAGTGTCCTCACAGTGCTGCAGATATAAACTTATACACACGCGATTGTTACCTAAAAAATAATAATTCTTTAAACGTCCTGATAATTGATTTTATATTAAGTTTTTTTTCTCCAAATACATAATGTAATATATAATGCATATAATATAATGCAAAGTCTTATAAGAATGATCAGAAAAAAAAAGTTATTAAGAGAAATATTTGGTCGTTTAAGTGATATAATAAGCACTTGCCTTTAGTGAATGTTTCATTTCTACACTGTACAATATCAGGATACACAGCATCCATATCTTTTTTGTCAACAATCTCTTTGAAACCTTCTTTACATCTACATCTTCCGGCCACACATTGCTGCTCGAACTGATTATAACACTCAGAGAAGAAGCCGCCGCTACAAACCTCCCCTACCACCGGGAAGTCAATGAACCAGCTAGTCTTCAGTCTGCACCAGCGACCAGAGTCACTCCTTTCGTACCCGTCCTCGCAGTCACAGACACCTTTATCTCCGCATTGTGTCTTCAGACCCTGACATATCCTCTCTCCACCACACACCTCACCCAATGCTGAAACTGCAAAACAAATGTATTTATTTCAAAAGAGAAAATGTGCTTTTAAAAGAACATATTTTTTTGTAAAAAAATATGCATCATACACTATACCTTGACATGAATAAGATTTTAAAACTGAAGATATTTCAGCATTTGTGTCAGTTAAATGAAGGCATTTTTTCTTAAAAATCTATTTGAATTGCTCGATATGTTTCATAATTGAGCGACTTCTTTTTCTTCTTAGAGTAATATTATTGAAAACCACAAATAATTATATAAATATATAATTTAAAGGTCATTGTCCATAATCGAACCCTATCATACAAGATTTAAATGATAACAAACAGCGTTAACGTTGTTGAATAGAGCTTACGTTTCCAACACGATTTTCCGTCAGGACTGTTGGCATAGCCTAGTTCACAGCGACAACGTTCAACTTTGCATGCATCCATAACGCATTCGGAGTTCTCTTGGCATGTTCTATGATGACATTTCTGGCCAACTCCAACTGCATAAAATATAGAAACACAACACTTATACTGAAATATGGCGGCATTATTTTCGTTAAAGTAGTAAAGTAGTGAAGGAAGATGTAATTCTGATAATTTAAAGAAGTATGAAGCAAGTGTATCGATGATACTCAAAATGAAATATGAAGTCAATAATTTTATGATTTTTATACTGAGGTATGGCTTCAGTGTCTTTGTGATGAAGTATAACGTCAATCAGAACGTATTGATGCTTTTGATAATGATGTATGACGTCATTTTATCTTGAAGGCACTGGTAATGGAGAATGAAGTCAATATATTGACGGTAATTATAATTAATGTTTAATTTACATATTTAACCATTGAAGGTACTATTGTACAGCGATATTGATGCATAGACGACAAAATACGTTACAAACCTGTTGTATTTGTCGTGCTTGATGGATTTGATGTCCCATTAAATGATGTACGAGGTGTTGTTGTGGTAGATGTTGTACTTGATGTTGTATTTGCTGTAGAGTTAGTGCTTGGTTGTGTTGTGGTAGATGTAGTACTAGGTGTTGTTGTTGATGTTGTTGTTGATGTAGTTGTTGATGTAGTACTAGGAGTTGTTGTTGATGTAGAAGTCGTACTTGGTGTTGTTGTCGTAGAAGTAGTACTAAGTGTTGTTGTTGTAGAAGTCGTACTTGGTGTTGTTGTTGTTGTTGTTGATGTAGTACTAGGAGTTGTTGTTGTTGATGTAGTACTTGGTGTTGTTGTTGATGATGTAGTACTTGGTGTTGTTGCCGTAGAAGTCGTACTAGGTGTTGTTGTTGATGATGTAGTACTAGGAGTTGTTGTTGTTGTTGATGTAGTACTTGGTGTTGTTGTCGTAGAAGTCGTACTTGGTGTTGTTGTTGTTGTAGTCGTACTTGGTGTTGTAGTCGTCGTCGTTGTTGTTGTTGTCGAAGTCGTACTTGGTGTTGTTCGTAGAAGTAGTACTAGGTGTTGTTGTTGTTGAAGTCGTACTTGGTGTTGTAGTCGTCGTCGTTGTTGTTGTCGAAGTAGTACTTGGTGTTGTTGAAGAAGAAGTACTTGTTGATAAATCTGAAAGCAGTACGCAATATATGTGTGTGTGAAATACAATTGATAAGTAAATATCCAACGCTTTCGCCCTTCTTACTTTTATATACGGGAAAATCTCTGATAGTAATATAATGTTGTTTTTTGGGGTATTCCTATTTACAGACACTGGTTTTGACAACATTTCACTAAGTAACTTGTTTGTTCATCTAGAACGAAGTTGACGAAAAGTAATATGTACTTGTACTCCGCTAAATTAGTTATTATACTATATGCCACTACTAGCTATAAGCTGTAAGTATTGCTTAACACATTCTTGTGGAGGTTCAGAGTTTGGTCAGAAGACTGGCATGACAGTAATATTAACTCAATCAAGTTATCAACGACACTAGTTTTCAGTAAATGGACTAAAGAAGTAAAAAATTCTAAGGTATTTTTTAAAATTTTGTTTAAAAAAAAAATGAAACATTATATAAAAGATACCGTGCTTTTGACATTCCGTTCCAGTGACATTGACAGGTACACCTGGAATGAAAATAAAATTGAAAATTAAGTTACCTCCGAAAAATTATGAATGTGTATGCCTAGGTTGTCTATTGCAGCAGAATAAATGTCTATAAGATTTTTTGAAAAGGCTCTCTAAGCATTTAAACATATTGAAAATATCATGAACAATGCTATTCATCACCTTTTAGGTTTTCGTACTCTCATTCTTGTATATATTCATGGACAATTGTACTATATTTTACTGCATGTATCACAAAACGAGATACAAAGAAAATCCAAATAGTAAATGAGTGTTATATAGAATGATAACAGGCATGTAGAAGGGTCATTGTTACAGTCTCCTGATCTTTCTTTTATATCATTTTAAAAAATCTTTTTTGTTGTTGGTGTATTTAGCCCGATTGGATTGACTGGATTTTACTCGAAGGGATCAAACTCGCATGCGACCTTGACCTGGTAACATTCACTCGGATCAAATACAAGTTCCCGATCAAGATACTCTTATAATATTCTTATTATGTGTATATACATATGTGTGTGAAATACATATGGTAAGAGATAAAGAACTTGTCAAGATGCTACAGTTTTGTTTTTTGAGGTAAATCAGCAATCCTGTAGAAATGATTCATATACGGTCATCCAGGGTGTTCTTATTTGATTGGTTAATATATTTAGATTGATATAGCTATGGCATCTGCCTTAACACGAAATTTATCATATCAAATTAACGTTATTAATATTAAAACATGTACTTGTGAATTTTACTATTAAGTTACTTACCTAACTGAAAAGTTTTGGGTCTACAAAATCTTGTATTGTACGGCTCCGCATATCTCTCTTCCGTCGTTGCTGGTCTGAAGCCATCTTCGCAAACACATTTGTTGTTTGTACATTGCAAGTCATCGGGAAAACACCAGAATTTCTCGTTATCACAATACTCCCCGTGCTCGGCAGATGTATCTTCACCTTTCATAACAAGAATGCACTCCTTGCCATTTTTAGACGGCTCATAACCCTCCAAACACACACACGTGCCGAGGTGACATTCACTCAAAGGTGGGCCCCCGCACACCGTCCCCATTTGGCACTTTTCTCCTAGAGGGGTTTCTGCAAAATCGATGATTAGTTTGTGATATTTAGAGCTTGAAAATTTTGCACCAGATTTTATATATTTATGTGTTTCCAAAAATGCTTCATAAATACGCCTTAAATGCTTTAAAAAATAACAGATAGCAAAATAATTAGAAAAAGTATATACTGTATAAAGGTATGATAAATAAAGACACTGGAAACTCTAATTTCTTTGTCTGTCTTCTCCTAACATGAAATTGAAGTTTTCAGGGGGAAAATGCCTCTATAGATATTATATAAAACGTGACGTAACCAGTGATTGACTAGCTTTAGATGGAAAATATCGTGAAATGAGACTTTTTATAAGCAGCTTTAAGAGAACAGTATCACGACTATACAGACAGGGACTTGTAGAAATATCCGAACTCTGGTCGCACGAATTCTGTTCATTATACAGACATTTTTGATATTTCTTTGTCAATATAGTTAGTATGTCTTGTTTGTGAGTAGGAAACAATCACTATTTTGACATTGGTAGCTTTGTATGTATTTGTGACTCTCTTGAAAAAGAGATTCGGACATTGAAAATCAAAGCATCGATCATCAGCTGCTAGTAAAGTAATAGAAAAGTTTGATTAAATTTTGCAAACTTTCTAAACGTATGGCAGACATTCCATTGGGTATTTTTGAAAATCTCAATGATTAATCTGTATGTTAATTTAAAAGTGATGGTCTTAAATGAACATCATGATAATAAAGTTTGTTCATTTTTAGTGCCTTGAGGTGAGTGGAGACTATTTACGCCTGCAGATTCAAGCTTATTTCCATGAAAATTTTGAAAATGGAAAATCTAAAAGTAAGATATTGTGAAGTCTACAAAGAAAGTAATCTACATATACAATCCACGCAAAATACAAAAAGAGGTCAATAGCCCTTTCTGCGTTAGTCACGCACTAGAAAAATTGTGATAGATACTTTTAACTCACGTAACATGTAAATTATTACTGGAATCTTGAATCTCTTTACATTTCTTAAAATCTTAGTACTTTTAAGTTTGATTCTTGGTTTTTTGGTTCATCTGGAGGCATGCAGCTTTAAATGATTAATCAGATACCTATTAATATAGCCTTTAATAATACTGAGCGATGAGTTTGTTGCGTGTGACATAAGTTTGCGTACTAATTGGAATTGAGTTTTTGGTCAACCGGTACTCTATTCATTTTTCCAAAGTCACCAGTACCCGAATTATCGCGAAAAGTTGTCATAAGTCGTAACTGAACAAACTTTATGACTAGTTTTTGAGATAACAGTATATCTTCCTGTGTCTAATAAAATAAATTACCTAAGATAACGTCAAAAGATGTTATTGTAAGCCAATAAAAATGCCGCATTTTTGTGGACATATGATACAGAGGAATAGGAATGCAAACTGTTTATTTATTCATTGAAAGTAAATATAGAGAGGAAATATCAAAGCATATATATCCCTTCTTTTAACGTTTTCTAGGAATGTGGGGATTTTTTTTGCAATAAGGAAACGTGCTGAACTATTTATAACTTATATAGGCCTTTTTATAATACATATAAGCTAAAAATATAAAGCAAAGACCAATGCGTGTTCTACATTTAACAAAATATATGTTATATAATAAATTTAATTAGGTTTTAACACCTTCTATTGGTGCACTATGGGTTTCCTGTATGCAATCGCATAACCGCCTCTACCCATAGATGCGCGTTGCAAAAATAGTACCACGGGTTGGAGTTTTGATAAAAATGCTTTTTTTGCAAATTGAACTGTGAAAATGACTAGTTATTGATAAGTATAATTACGCATTTATCCGCGCATGTGTCTTAATTTAAACTACCTATGTTAACATTAAAATAATCGCAACTTTTCGGCACTTAAAGAATGGGCTATGAAGAATTTCTATGAGCAAAGACTGTTTGGTGTAAAATGCTCTTGGTCTTTAAAGCATATGGTATAATAACAATTTTTTGGTAAATCAAACTGTAATATCTGGAAAAGGGAGATCCCTCTAGAACAAGAGCAATTAAACAAACCAAATAGTTACAGCGTGATAGTTGATGTAATATGCAGCACCGGCTTAAGTGGTTTTCAAACCTTAAAACTAATGTTTTTGAATCAATGATCCCAACAGGACCAGAAAAATATCAATGATCCCAAAAGGACCTTAAAAATATACCAACACTTAGGTGAAGCATGGGCAACATTTTACGCCTGAAACACAGCACTTGACACCTGCTATTTTGACTATATAAATCTGGATAGGGGCGGGGGTGGGGGTGCTGGTCCCTCGAGAACAATGAAAATAAAGCAAATAGTTGACAATTGCGGACTCGGTTCAATTGAGTCTGGTCATGAGAGTATATATAAGTGCAACATCTTTCACACCCCTAGCTACTGTTAAAACTAACAGGTTAAATAATTCAGTATTAATGGACACCAAGGTTTCATTTATTAGATTATCGAGGTTACATATTAAGATTAACTAATAGTGTATTGAAACATTCGCAACTTCTCGACCCATTATTAATCAATGAGATGTTCCAAATAAGGTCTTCCTATAAACAGACAAGAATAGACAAAAACCCAAATAAAGAGAGCACACGTTTATAGCAGAAGCACTCAGAAATTTCTATGATATCAATGGTAAATTGAGATTTAAATATCAATTAAAAGATGTTTTGTGCGGATGATATAATATGAACACGTGCTTAATTTCGTTTGTTGAGAACAAACGTTAGTTCATGATTGTCAAGACAAACCATCAGTTTATAGTAACAAATTATTTATATTAGAAGCTTATAATTTTAAAACACATTTCGTTTTAATTTCATGATTAAAAAGTTAGATAAGTAAAACATAAAATTATTTTAAGAGATTTAAGAAACACCTATATTTCATGTTTTCAAAATGTGTATATGATTTCAAGTTTTCTTTAATAAAACACCAATAAGTTAATAAATCTATTCCACGAACTTATTAGAAAACTGAAAAAAAGTCTTAAAACAATTTAGTTCCCATAGACAGTTACAGGTATGACAAATTGGGAACAAATATGTTAGCAATTCATTAACAACTAGTAAACGCATAAATGATATAGTTTTCAGGATAGTTTATATCACGTTTTATCAAGTGCTCTGTTGGGGCAAAACATCTCAATGGATGTAAAACTTGCACACATATCGAGATATCTATTCCTATTTTTTCCACTTTTATCTCAGATTATATCAAGTAGTTTTTGCAAGTTTAACTATTATCACTCAAAATATCATCTTTCAGCCTGAACAAAACTATTTATCACTTTTATGGAAATATTCAAAATAAGTTTTCAACAGAAAAGAGATAGTGCAGACCATGGTCAAAGGGCATGGACAGAATCAGTGGATGTAAGGTGTCACCTTAGTGCAATAACGGGTCAACTCTTTATATGATTTAATAGGAGTTAACACGTTACTGCACTGAGATGACGAAATATTAAATTACGTTAACTTTATATGTTTGAACTTGAAGTATCAGACGCTTAATGGAAACATTTTGAGAAAGCTTTTGAATATTTACCTCCAGTAATAGCAAAAACGTCGTCATATGACCTTTACAAGGTCGGTGAGATTCTCAACAAGTCACGGAATAATGACTAAAAGAATTTAAATTTCTATCACACTGATTGATATGGATTAGTTTGTGCATTAAGAACAACACCAAAACAATTTACAATTCTTATATCCCATATAGGGCGTGAATCTTTTTAGATAGATAACAAAACAACAATACAATATTATATTCTCTACTCACCTTTGACGTTACTGGATTTGTTACTATTCTTCTAAAATGTATATTACAAGATTTGGTTATTTCCTTGACTTTGATACAGCAATATTTGCTCTCGAATAGCAATAAGTTGTTTTTACAGATGCTTATAAAATGTTCAATTCACAATTAGGTTCTTTTCTTGCCATTCACACAGCTAGACTTGTTCACGGATGGCAATAAGCTGTTTTTACAAAATTTTTATGCTTATAAAAATGTTCAATTCACAATTAGGTTCTTTTTTACCTTTGTCACAGCTAGACTTGTTCACGGGTGACAATATTTTAGTTTTACAAATGCTTATAAAATGTTTAATTCATAATAGGGTTAATTTTTCTTACCTTTGACACAACTAGACTTGTTCACGGATGGCAATAAGTTATTTTTGCAGATGCACCTCATTCCATCACATCCCAACCATTTGCAATGTGAACCAGTCGGGCAACTCCTTTCGTCGTTCTCACAGCTGTCAAACACGTTCAACCCGACTGTGAAAAAATATAACACCATACTTTACAACATTATATCATCATAATTATAATATTCATTTAAACAGTGGATAATATAATGTTAAAATCCATAGCCATGGCATTAATATGTTAAGATACAAATATGAAACGGGTAATTGCAAAATACGAAAGGCCTTTTTTTAAATGAAATGAAACAAAACAAACACAACTGGAGACGTGCATATTTAAGATAAAGATTTCAAACACTTCACATGATAGTAAATAATCTGTTGGTATGAGAGAACATATGGAATGGAAGGTCGAATTTAATAAAATTTGTTCGACAATTTGATATATGTGAAAAAAAAGAAAAAACAAGAAAAGAGTATTTCAAGAAAAAAAATGAACGAGCGATCTTTTAAAGTTTGTCTAATCGGAAGGGAATAACCAAAATAAGGTTTACCAATGTATTTTCTTTTTAATTTTCAGACTTCACATTCATGACTAAAAACTCTTTATACTAAATGATGTTTAATCTTAATTTTTTTAATTAAAATTATTTGAACTGATAAAGGGCAGCAAAAAAAACATGATTAACTTGCAACAGAAAAAAACCATTAACTTATTAACTACAGTGTTTCCTTTCTTTTCGAAACTGTTTTTATATACTATTTCGTTTTAAGATCAAATAACTTCTTTTTAATTATCGAAACTGCAATCTAACTTTATCAAGGTCGTGATTGTAGTTAAAAATACAAAAATTAGATATGAGAACATATGTTCTTACCAGTGCAACAAACAAAAAGTAGCATCCAAAAAGGACCTTGTTGAATTCCCTGATACACCATTATTAGTTGTTTTATAATGATATTTAAACCTAAAATATTCCTAAACTGTAAGAATATATCGACTAACAGTTATATTTTCGAAACATCTTAAAACAGTCTTGATTATTATTTGTTCTGAATTTTATCCGGATTCCATTGGTATGAGATGACCGAAAGAACGCGTCATTGATTTAAGAAGAAGCTAATATCTTATGGATAGCTATAAATTCAAAATATTTAATTATACATTAATTTGATTTCGTTTCAGGTATGCAAGATCAAAATTCATTGAATTGTTTTCATTTTTCCGTTCACGTTTCACAAGCAACTGGATTCTATAATGATGCTATTAATTCCACTTGGCGCCGTTTAGTTTCAGTCACAAAACACAACACTTGAGGTTTAGAGTAGATGTAAGAATCACTTCTATTAAAAATCACTTCAAACGCGTACTCTGTTACATTTTGTGAACAACATGCGCACATATACGAAATTTATCTGCACGAATTGTCACAAACAACGTGTTCTTATTATTCGTGGTAAGGACATCTATTTGGTTAAGAAAGGAAAAAACAAGATCATCACCGAAAGTAAATCATTCATTAATGTAACCTCAAGTTATCTTGGTCTAATTCGGATTTAGTTGCATCTTTTCGGTCTTTATCTGGGCTTTCATCCTCAAAACCTTGGACGCTGAGGAACGTCATTCCTTACATAGGAAGTCTCGGAGATTAACGGGGCGTCCCCGCTAGATAAAAATGTGTATCAAACTACCGTATACTTCCGTACACGAAAGTTGATAAAGCTTAAAATAAGTTTAGTGATATTACAGGATTTCAAATGTTTTGACTGTCGTTTTACTTTGAACATGGTTTTTCTTCCAATTAAACTTCATTGACCTATAGGAAAACAACATACTTTAGACGCCGTTTCGGGGGAAGTTAATTCCCTTTTCGGTTATAAAAAATGTGACCGCGGTTAAGTTTTAAATAACTTTTTTTTCAAGATAATAATTAAAGAAATAGATTATCACTCTAATTTTGATGTCTTAATGTTCATATATACCATCTTTAAATTTTTCGTTTGTTTAATTGCAGTTGTTTATTTGCAGTAGACCCTCCTCCTTAAAACCTACCTATTATTAAGACCAACTCTCTTATAAGACCAAAATATTCTATAATTTTTGTTAGTTGTCGCTGTACTTGAATTAAAAGTTTGTTTCAATCATTACATATTATCAAATGACGATCCGGTATCCAGGTCGTGACACAGGAATGATGATTACTTTCTAAATTCCATCTCATCATAATCATAGCATGTTTTGAAAGTGTCATAAATTAGGCCTACTGTCTTATCAAAATTGTTGACACCGTATTTTGAAGTCATCAGATTAATGGATGAAGTGAAAGTGATGTTGCTATCTGATGAAGTTTCTGGTGTGATCCTATAATTATCTACATTTGTATATCTGTATAATATGCATTATCTTGTTTTAAATTGATAAAGCTGCGGTCTCACCTACATCCCGGCAGAGCCCCGGTAGACGTCCGGGCGATCCAGGAACGACCGGGGTACGACCAGGAACAACGGTTCATTTCAAAGGAATCATGATTGCACTTGTTTCCCTTATTTCAAGTCTTGCATAAGAATTATTCAGAAAATCATCATGAATTACTTATTAAATAGAAGAAAATATCATTCCAAATTGTCACAAATATATTAAATGAATATTATGAATAAACGTCATCATTTTCGCGCGCGTTTTCAATCCACCGGGGTTCTACCGGGACTCTGCTGGGATCGTCCTGGGCTCTGCCTGGATCGACCGGGGCTCTGTCGATGTCAACCGGGGCTCTGTCGGCGTCATCCGGGAACGACCGGGGAAGCACCGGCATGGACCGTAGCTTCACATGGGCTCTGCCTGGATGGTCCGGGGCGCAAACTAGGCGTTAGTTGGAAATTACCGAAGTGCTGCCGGGGTAAGTGTGACCGCAACAATAACTTCACCTCGGATCGTCCTGGATTATCCCAGTAACTTACCGGGATGGTCCTGGGCTCTGCCGGGTGTGAGACCGCAGCTTTAACGACTCCTTATATAAAACACATCTTTGCAATGTGAAGTGTTGGGATCGGCGACATGGAGACGTTCATTGGATAATGTCTGTAGAACAAACTAGTTGACTACCTCTATGACACAGTCCTTTCTTTTGCTTCCTCAGTCTGTTCCCGTTCTTTTCTCAAAGCGTCCTTTTCTTTAAAGGCCCATTATGCCTCAGAATACTATCATTTTTGTTTTCATAAAAAAAACAACTTTCATTCTTGGTATCTTGTTACATTTTCCAAAGAAAAACTTCTTTGTCATATAAATGAACTACTTTCGGGACCTTTTGCTCACTTGACGATTGATACAATTATATAGCGATTAGTATTTTTTATGGAAGTCAGAATACTACTTTGTTTACATTTTTCTATCTTTATGACACATTACTTCACGTTCAGCGCTAAGTGTCTCAGCTGTTAAACCTCTAACATATTCTAAATTCATTATTTTAACAATATTTAACAAATGTTTGACATTTCGAAAGAATAAAAAAATATTGCTTTCTGAGGCATAATGTCCCTTTAACAAATATTTCGTATACCTTTTCAAATGATTTGAATCCCATTACCAGCCATATATAATTTGTTTAAAATCAGATATAATATAATAGCCTCCGCAGAGCGACTTCTCTATTAGAGAATTCCTTTTTTATACTCAAAATATTACCTTCGTCCCCAAAAGTAAAGGTGTCGCTTTAGATTTACCTCTGTAAAGCAACACCTCTAATCAGCATCAAAATATTTGTCTCCCAAAGGATTTGGTTATGTGTTATAACTCGTGGCCCAATCCATTTAGAAATGCTTCTTTCCCTATTTATTTCTACATTGTATATTGTTTATATACATGGACACACATAAAAAAGTATTACAGTAATATCACAATATTATTTTTTTGCATTCGTTACAAAGCGCGAAAATAAAGTGGTTACTATTATTATTACTTAAACAATATAATAGTATAATGTATCTTAAATACTTATTTCTCTTAGCGGCAGCATTCCGATAAAAATATGAAGCGCGGTAATTGTATTCTTTTAAAGTGGCTTTTAAAAACGTCTTAAACCCATAATGATAAAAACAATAACATTTTTAAGATCACAAATATCTATAAATCCTTAAAGTTTTTAATCCGTAATCTGGATCAAGTTCTTTTTTACGCTATTAATCTTTTAACCTTTTAATTCAGCTTATCCATTCATCATGCATGTATGCCTCCCTTGAAATCTTATCGGGACGAAAAATCAGTAATATCCATATTCTAACGTTGATGGCAAAGCCATTGTGCCATTCGCCGTTCTATATATTTCTTATTGAAATGATACGCTTAAAACACTAGATGTACGTTAATAGCAGGAACAATAGGAAAATGTCATTAAAGGGTCAGAGGAGCACAAAAGACCGGGAGCGGAATTCAAATTCAATGAAAATGATGTTATAAATATGTACTTGAGATATTGAAAATGAATAGCATTTTAAAAATGTGGTGTTTGTCTTGATTCTACGGGAGGAAATGGTTTCAAACATTCATAGAACTGTTTCAATGATTTTCCTTAGGCTGATAGTTATTTTATAGAAATAAAGAGGGAGATTTTAAACGCGCTTTTAACTTCAATAGAAATTGTGTGAAAATGTTTGAATGTTAATGCGTGGAAGGAATCTAAATAAATCGTTTAAAAAGAAAAAGGAAAGTACTAAATATGGAGGGTGAAAAAATTGAAGCAGATGCTAAATCTAATCAGGTAGGTTGTATGTTTAGTGTGTTTTTATTTATCATAAATTGTCATTCAGTAAACAATTTTTAAGCCGCATACCTCTAGATGAGTCAACATATTAAAAGAAAACCACCCTTGAGAAAAATGTACAGAGATTTTATTTTACAATTCACAGTTCAAGAAATATTTTACGTTATATGCAATTAATTACTGATTTTGCGATATTTATCAATATATTTCATCTGCGTGACTAACGCTAAAATGACTTTTTTTGCATATTCTGACCTACTTTTGGTAATTTTAGTAGATTTAAGCACCGTTTGTAAAGTTAATTTACTGTCTTTGTTCACTTGACAACATTTAATTTTAAATACATTTTTTAAAAAAAAATCAAGTACTAGTAACTAGCATGAATCTAGTGGCATGGCGCTTTAATCTTGGTAAGGTTTTTTTAATTGTTTTAGTTGAGTTTATCAAACAGCTGACATTCACTTTCATGCAAATCTTCAACAAGTTACATTATTGTTCTATTAAGTAAAATGTAAAATATATATTTCGTAACATAACTATCCACTTCATTATTAACTTTTACCTACTGGACATCTTTACTGGACCGTCTTCCTCATATCTGACTGATCTTGGTCTGCACTAGTCGCATGGGTATAGGTTATGTATTAGAAGGGTTTAATACTGACCAAACATTTTTTAATAAAAAATTTGATGTGAAGCAGACTTTTCTTTCTTTTTTTTATCTATTTAATCATTTTTATGGATTTTTTGTTTCATATGAAATGTATCGCTATAAGTCTTGTGATGACTTTTGTCTTGTGAACTCGAAAATCTGTAGTAATCATTTAAATTCCCATTTGATATAAATAAAATAGTCAAACGGCTGCAAAGCTTACATTTTTTAAATGAACTTGTAGAGAGATGGGCTTTACCCGGGGTAAAATAAAAATAATTAATTATGTTGAAATTTTCAGTATCATTTTCTTTTTATAAATTTTATCTTTATCTAAATAGCATAGTCACTATAGAGCTATAAACATTATACTACTACCAAAATAAAGATTGCAAAATATAATAAAGTATGATATTTTCCATGTTTAAAAGCAATGTAAATTGTTGGTATAATATATTTAAACAATATTTTTTGTTGGTGGTATGGCGATGTAAACAAGGCGGACATAATATGTAAGAAAATATCACTTGCCAATTGTAAAAATAAGTTTTTGTTTAGTAAAAGCTCTTGGACAAACACTAGGTTCAACGTTTTTAAGATTTGTCTCATAAAAATTGTCGCAACTGTAAATTGATTAAATAACACCGAATTGTTAAAAGGCATTATACCCTTAGCTAGAAATTGGTTAATCAATTAAAGGCTTATTTTGCATTTCAAAAAGTAATAAAGTAATCTTTAGAAAGGGCAAACAAGGAATTTGTGTGTGTGTAAATGATAGTTTTAGAGAATGTAAGATGCTTATCACCTGACCAAAGTTGCGCTGAAAGTGAATTATTTCTTATAAAAGTAACAAAATATAAACAAAGAAGTATTTTGACTTCCACTTCCATACAAAATACTAAACTAATTGTCAAAAGGCAACAGAGGAAAAAATAAGATAAGGTAAATTAGCAAATGAGTGTCTTATTGTGAACTATAAAAGTACAACATAAATATAAAAAGCCTTTTAGTAATAAAAATAATAGCACTTCTGGGATATAATGGGCCTTTGCGAATTGTCAAAAACATTATACCCTTGGCTAAATATTGGTTAATCAATTAAACTTACTTGATTGTCTGATGTACATATGACCGCAGTTTAATAATGGATTTTAAACTAAATTTATAGCGTTAATAATGTCAACTATATTTAGTCTGACATAACTTTGGCCTTGATCATTCAGGTTAATCCAATTAATTCCTATAATTTCGTAAATCTTTTGCTATGTATTGTATTGGTTGTGTATTTTTTGTCTTTATTGCACATTGTTTGACCTACAATTTGTGTTTAAACTTATTTGTTCTAACGATTTACCTATGTGTGAACAAGTTATGGAATAAACTTTGTTCTGTTCGTTAGTTCAATGCATTTTTATTAGAGATTTGATATTTTCGCTAATTTCGGTGAATTTGTGATGACAGAAAATATAAATCTGTGTAAAAAACGATTTAAACTCTCATTCCATTTGTTACTTTTTAACATTTCTTTTCGAAGTTTCTCATAATTGAACCGTCTCACATTTAATGAAATATTCATCTAAAAATATTTTAGTTAAAGGTTTTGTTAAAAGAATCATCATAGTTAATTTAGAGGAGTATGAGGTCAGCCATTCATCAATATTGTCTGGAAGACAGCACAATCAGAGTCCCCTGTAACCTTGTGATTATGGTTACCGGAGACCAAAAAAAAAAAAAAATGGCGTTCAGTTGTGTAATATGAGAAAGGCATCCTTGTCTTTGGAAGGACTGTCGTTTTTCTTTTCAAATAAGTATATTAATAGTATTTTTGGTAAGAAACCGATGCCCATGTAATAAACCGATTATAAACATCAATGTATTTGTAAAAAATCAATGTTATATATACAAATGTACTTCGGAAGGACGATAGTTCCTCTTTTAAATTAAGTTTTAATAGTTTTTGGTGATAAACCGATGCACCATATATTTTTTTTTTTTTTTAATTTCAGTAACCATAGGTTACCCATTTATTTTTCCCAATAATAAACATATTTTTACACACATACAAAAAATACACAATACATTCAAACTTAAATTATCTTTTTGAATAATAATATATAATACATGTTACAAGTACTAATTCGAGTAAAGATTATAATTTTTTAAAAATTCTATGGGAGTTTTTTGTTTTTGTTTTATAATGTAATATATTTTTAAATTACAATCTAAGCTGTCGATAATTAAACTCTTTATGTCCAACATATAACTAGAAATGTAATAACATTATTTTTATTTTTCTGTTGACTGTGAGAAAAATGTATATTTCTACTTTGGATGTTTATACAAATTGATTTATTGTAACATAATACATTTTTAATGAAGAAATAAACTCATAATTATAGCATGCTATTTACATTCTTAATTAATGTTTTCCAAAAACACTTCTGATTTTCATATTGTTCTTATCGAAAAACAATTATATCTTCAAATCTCCATTAAAGAAACAACAACAACCGACAGTAATCCTGTATATACATAACCCACTTATGTCTTTACAACAACAACAAAAAACAGTAAATATAAAATGATACAGGTATTATCTCACCAGTCAATTTTCCAACTAAAGAAATAACATCAAAACAATTCACTTGTAAATACATAACCCACATATACCTTTACCAGGAGAGAAAAAAAAATCATACACATTTACTGATAAAACATGTTTAAGGTATCACACTAGAAAAGGTAGTGAAAAATTAATAGTGCTAACAGAAACACTTTATTCATTTTGATGTTGTTTTTTTTTAATGTTTTAGACAGCTTGTTTGAAACATTGAACTATAGAGAAGTAAAAAGAAGAGAAAAAATAATATCATAAAAAAAAAGGCTAGAGAAAAAAAAAACCTATATAAAAGGTTTTTGGTGCCAACTACTAGAGTTTTCGTTAAGCGGTAACCTTACATATAAAAGAACTGGCAAGTAATTCTTTCTTGGAGTAATTTTTCAGGTTTTGGTGGAGGAAGAATGATTAAATTATAAACATTCCAGGTTTTGGTTGGGGAAGAGTTTAAAAATAATTATAAATAAATTATAAACATGTAGTAACACCCCTACAAACTTATTATAAATTTAATTTAAATCTAAAAGAAAAGACATCACAATCATAAGGGGCTCACTAAATTATTGAATTTTTCCCATGCTTTCTCAAATTCATTATGCTTGAATGACTGTTTGGACATATATTTATCAATTTCATAACTGGCACACAGTTGTTGTTTAAAAGTTCCTATATCAGGCCTTAATTGTTTTAATCTACAGTAATATATGTAATATTTGGCATGTAATATTATTTTATTTATAACTTCATCAAGATGAGCACTGCCAAACAATATATCTAACTTACTCCAGGTTGGAATGTTAAGGTGGCATCTATCATTAATATAAACTTGTAGTTGTTCCCAAAAATGTTGTGTTACATCACAGTCATAGAAAAGATGAATCAATGTTTCTTTTTCATTATGACAAAATGAACAATTATCATCATTAATTATATTCATTTTTCTTAAGCAAATAGTTTGTTGCAAGAATTCTATGGTTTATTCTATACTGAAACCATATCAACTTTGGGTCCTCTGTATATTTGTAAACCAAATTATACAAAGAATTCTTTTCAAAAAATTCACTGTTATTTATATTCCTTAAATCATTTTTCCACTTTTGTAATGATTTTGGGTACTGTTTTTCAGATTGCATTGCTCTATATATAGAACGCATCCTTTTTTATCTCTATTAATTATACATATAGGATTTGGAATAGGTGTGTTATATTTATGTTGTTTTGGTAAATCTGGAACATTTTCTTTTCTTAAAAATTCTTTAACTGAAGCTACTATACCTCTATATTCTAAAAAATTAGTTCTAATATTAAATATTGAGGAAAATTCATCATATGTATAAAACTCCCCTTCTTGGTTGATAAGATCTCCTATAAAAAGAATACCACCTATTATCCACCTATTTAAACAAATACTAGAGTTTCCAATTTTTATGCTTGGATTATACCATAAGTTCACAAAATAGTACTGCTTAGTATTACATAGTTTTAAATTCATAGAAAGTGTATAATAACTATAAATAACATCTCTCCAAAAAGGATTAATGTCTGAATGTAATTTTGTCTTAATATAATCTGTTCCAAATTTATACATTTCTTTTATGAATGGGTTAGTTCCTTCAACCAATTGACAGTATTTGTTATTTGAGTTCAGAAGTCTTCTGAGCCATGTAGCTTTTAAACTGCACATAAAAACATTTAAGGTCTATCATTTTTAATCCTCCAAATTTATAT